CACATTTTCTATCTTTCCTAACCAGCGGAATAGCTTGCTTTTGGGCCATTAATAGTGTCCCTTTGAAAAACTGCCAACTCTCCTCAGTTGTTTTTCCCCTCAGCATGACAGCAGTCCTCTCTAGCTGGATAGTGTCCTCAGCCTTGGGGCAACAAAAATGATTAGGGGGCTGGAGCACATGACTTATGAGGAGAGGATGAGGGAACTGGGATTATTTAGTCTGCAGAAGAGAAGAATGAGGGGGGATTTGATAGTTACTTTCAACTACCTGAAAGGGGGTTCCAAAGAGGATGGATCTAGACTGTTCTCGGTCGTACCAGATGACAGAACAAAGAGTAATGGTCTCAAGTTGCAGTGGGGGAGGTTTAGGTTGGATATTAGGAAAAACTTTTTCACTAGGAGGGTGGTGAAGCACTGGAATGGGTTACCTAGGCAGGTGGTGGAATCTCCTTCCTTAGAGGTTTTTAAGGTCAGGCTTGACAAAGCCCTGGCCGGGATGATTTAGTTGGGGATTGGTCCTGCTTTGAGCAGGGGGTTGGACTAGATGACCTCCTGAGGTCCCTTTCAACCCTGATATTCTATGATTCTATGTCTCCATATGAATACTCTCGAGAAATTCCTCATGTGCACGTATTCTCCTCAGCCTGGCCAACTCCTGTAGCTCTCCTAGCTGCTTCCTGAGAGTTTCCATGAGCAGGCACCTCTCACACTGGATGGTCCCCCAAGCCTGGCTTTCTGCGAGTGGGAAATGCAGGCCACAGTCTCTGCAAATCCACACCAGTATCTGGGTAGAGGCATTAACTGTTTTGAAAGCAGAAGTTTTGATTTTTCAATTCAAATTTAATTTTTATTTGAAATATACTTCGGTGTCCTTCCCAAAACATTTACAGGGTAAAAAAATCAGGTAATGGAACATTTAGTTTCTGATCTAACAAAATGTTGTTCATTTGACCCAGAGACCTGCTGTCTGCCCCACCGCAAGCTGCACGACTGACCTGGTGGGCTCCGCCCTGTGTCTAGTCGATGATTATCCATGTTAAAGCAAACCCCACGATTCCTTTAGGCATTGGCCCCTTTGTCAGCAGAGTCAGTGGAGAGGGCAATGGCTGAATGTGCCGCTGAGACTGCCCTTGTCGCTCTCTCTGAGAGCAGGGCTGAGTCCCGCTGGCTGCTTAGCATGGGTGAAGCGGGCCTGCTGCTGCCCATGCTGAACCTGTTCGGTGGATTAGGGGCTTCCTGCTGAGCACCCTCCATCCAGCTGAAATCTGTCCTGAGCACCTTGGGGTGGCTCCCAGAGGCCGTCACTCTCCAGGGCCTTTTCACCAGCACTCAGGCCATTCAGTGCTTAGGACCAAATTTACAAATCACTGGAGAGAGAGAACAGTGGTAAAACAAGGGAAAATAAGCTGGCCTGTCCCCCAGGAAACAGCAGGCCAGCTTTCCTGTTATTCCTTCATTTAGCCATTTGCATGTAAATCTGCTGCATCTTCTTCTTTAATCCACTGCAATTCCCTTCCCGACTGATCTCCTTTTTAAGATCTGCTGTGTTCCTCATCGCCTGCCTCAGCCCCTCCTCCCTCTGGCCCCAATAGCATGGTTGGCTTCAGATCGCACGTGTATAGAAGTGTCTGATAATCCTCCAGCTGCTCCTCAGTGCTGAGGCCTGAGGTGAGCTAGAGCTATACTGCCAGAGGTGAAAGTAAGCCGGTACAGTGTACTGGCAAGAGCCGGTATGCCATGCCGGACTGGACCGGCTTCTCCGGCAGTGATTTAAAGGGCCCAGGGGTCCAGCCACTGTGGGGAGCCCCGGACCCTTTAAATCACCACCGGAGCTCCAGCAGCCAGGCTCAGGCGGAGATTTAAAGGGCTCGGAGCTCCGGCCCCTGCGGGGAGTCCTGGGCCCTTTAAAGCGCTGCCTGAGCCCCGCTGCCAGAGCTCTGATGGCGCTTTAAAGGGCCCGGGCCCATCTCCCCGCAGCGACCAGCGCCTCTGGCCCTTTAAATTGCTGCCGGAGCCCCGGAGCTCCTGCAGCTGGGCTCAGGCGGGGATTTAAAGGGCCCGGTGCTCCGGCAACTGCGGGGAGCCCCGGGCCCTTTAAATCCCTGCCCGAGTCCTGCCACCCCGGGGTAGCAGCGGCAGGGCTCCCGTGGTGATTTAAAGGGCCCGGAGCTCTGCGGTGGCCGGAGCCCCAGGCCCTTTAATTCGCCCCTGAGCCCTGGGCTCCCAGCCGCCTCTGCAGCTGGTAGCTCTGGGGTGATTTAAAGGCCCTGGGGCTCCCAGCCACAGCCTGAGCCCCAGGGCCTTTAAATCTTGAAAGGCCCTGCCTCTTCCGGTTGAGGCCATGCCTCTTCTGGTTGAGGCCACACCCCCACTCAGGACTCAGGGGGACTGGTAAGTCCTTTAAGTTACTTTCACCCCTGTATACTGCTGACCTTTCTGCACCAACCTGGGGACTTTGGTACTTTGCACCTGGCCCTGCTGCATAAATGCTGCATCATTTTAGCTGCATCTGCCTACAAGAAAGCAATGGATTCTGTCTTGTAGCGTAAAATGGCAAAGCTCCATTCTAGCTGCTGCCTGCTATTCCATTAGAAGCCTAATTCACCCCTCTCATTTTATTCTTTCTCCATGCCCTTTGATGGTGACAGCTTAGTGACTCCTGCTCTGCAATCTCACATTGCTTGAGAAGGTCACGGACCCTTTTCTTTGTCACAGTCAGTCGGAAGGACCCCTTTGGATACGTGCTCTGTACAGACAAGCTGGGCCCCAGCATGCTGGGGCATTAAGGCAGGTTGTGGAATCCCCGTCACTGTTGGTTTTAAAGAACAGGTTGGACAAACACCTGTCAGGGATGATCTTGGTTTCCTTGGCCCTGCCTCAGCGCAGAAGGCTGCACTAGATGGCCTCTCAAGGTCCCCTTCAGCCCTATATTTCTATGATTCTAACTATTAGAACACTGAACCTCACTGGCACTAGCAAGGTTCTAATGGTTGAGCTGTGTGTGCTGGCCTGTGGCCATTGGTATCCAGAAGAAGGCTCAGATTGTGTCATGTGAACTGATTGTATTAAAGAACGTGTCTCTTGCTCCCTTCTGGTCATGGCTGGACACCCAAGGGAACGGCTCTTTCCCGCATCATGAGGGGCCCTGTCATTTGACCTAAGGACAGAAGCTCAGGCCCCAGCTCTGAAGAGGTTAATATCTGGCCTTGCTTTGGTGCCTTCCTCCTGACGCTAAAATGGGAATGAATACAGGACATGGCAGCCTGCTTCTATTTTTGTTGCCTGCACAGCAGTAACTGTTAAACAGTATTATGTCCTCCCCACTTCAGTCCCTGACTCCCTGGCAGCTGGCACAGGCCTTGGCTGACAGGAGGGAGCCCTTGGTGGTAAGCTGTTGCTTATCTCTCTGTTAGAGATGTCAGAGCTGCTGGTGTTGCCAGGCTCTGAGCCAGCGTGTTGCATTCTAACAGCTTGGGGTTTCTGCTGTTTCTGCCTAGGTGAACACAGCCATGCATGAGGCCAAGCTGATGGAGGAGTGTGATGAGCTCATGGAGATCATCCGGCAGCGCAAGCAAGTGATCGCCGTCAAGATCAAGGAGACGAAGGTAAGTGTCGCTCTGAGGTGTGTTTTTCTATGGGTGCACATGCGTGGCCAGTGCTGATGCCACAATTACTTGGAGGAAGCGCTGTGGCCACTGGTGCTGCTGCTCCTATGACATCCCTGCCCCAGATTTTCAGCTCAGCTTTGCCAACTTGCCCAGTCCTCTTGGTTTCATGATACAGCATCCTCTCCAGGACAACATGCTCCCATCCATGGGGCTGACGTGTCAGCAAACAAAGCCACAGAGGAGGGAGATGTACCTTGAGTAAGTGGTGTAAGAGTCAGGGAGACCCACTGGAAAAGATTGGTGTGTCTGGAAATTAGCTTCAAGTCTCAGCATTTCAGAGGTTGTCAATGGAGTGGCCAAGAATTTGCCTACAGAAGGGATAGGATATGCCAAGGCTGGGTCCTCTAATGCTTTTAAACATAGAGGGCAAGGCAGGGGCTGCTTTTCAGAAATGCTTTGTGTGATGCTGGCAGACCAGGTGCCAGCTCATGCCAAGGTCCCCAGGTCTCAACTGAACACTGACAAACACCTAGCTGGAACCAGTCTGGCTCACCTGTGGGTTAGTATAGTTGAAACATTAAAATTATAAGAATGTGTTTAGTGTTTAAACTTTATGGAATGCCTGTGAGTTGCTGCCTGCACTAATCTCACTCACAGCATCAGTATCCCACAGTTGAGCATTGGTACTGTAAGCCTCTGTAACTATGTAAATCACTAGACAGGAAAGAGGCATTAAGTAATATGAAGTGCCGCACTGCAACCGACAGTGTTATGTCCTGCCCGACAGGAAAGGCCCATCAACACCAGAAGGACTATTGTGGCTTGTTAAAGTGGTCAAAAGACTTTGTTGCTCTACTCTTCCCCTCCCATGAAGACGAGTCTTGCAAGTGGATTACTCCCATTGGCTGAGTTTGCAGCTCAGAGCATATGGGAGGAAGGGAATAAAATCCCCTAACAAGATGGAACTGAACCTCTGTGCTGGTTGGACTCAGGGGGGCAAGGTTTTCTAGGCATAAGCAAGGGATCCCCAGCTGCTTAGCCTGGGTTAGCCCTAAAAGACATATAGGGTTTACTTATACAAGTTTCTGTTATCTTCTGAAATTTAAGATTATAACTAATTTTTGTGTGTGTTGACCTGCTTTAAATCACTCTTTTGTTTCCTTTTCCTATTTAATAAATCTGTATGTAGTTTATTAGAGGATTGGTTGCAAGTGTTGTCTTTGGGGAGAGATCTACAGTGCAATTGACCTGGAGTAAGTGACTGGTCCTTTGGGACTTGGAGTAACCTGAATATTGCTGTGATGTTTTGGTGTAAGGGACCATCTGTCACAAAGCCAGGCTCACCTGGGTGGCGAGATAGATCGGAGTACCCAGGAGGACTGTCTGTGACGCCATGTTATGGCTGTTCCAGTGCCTGAGTTTACACTTGAACATGGAGAGTGAAATCTTAGTATAGAACTCACAACCAATTAGGGGTGGGTGCCCTGTTTCCTAAGCTTACAAGAAGTGGAAGATTGGACAAATGACCAGGGAGGAGTATAAAAATATTGCTCAGGCATGCAGGAGTGAAATCAGGAAGGCCAAATCACACTTGGAGTTGCAGCTAGCAAGAGATGTTAAGAGTAACAAGAAGGGTTTCTTCAGGTATGTTAGCAACAAGAAGAAAGTCAAGGAAAGTGTGGGCCCCTTACTGAATGAGGGAGACAACCTAGTAACAGAGGATGTGGAAAAAGCTAATGTACTCAATGATTTTTTTGCCTATGAGGAGATAACTGGCTCTGTGGATGAGGGGAAAGCAGTGGATGTGTTATTCCTTGACTTTAGCAAAGCTTTTGATACGGTCTTCCACAGTATTCTTGCCGCCAAGTTAAAGAAGTATGAGCTGGATGAATGGACTGTAAGGTGGATAGAAAGCTGGCTAGATCGTCCGGCTCAAGGGGTAGTGATCAATGGCTCCATGTCTAGTTGGCAGCCGGTTTCAAGCGGAGTGCCCCAAGGGTCAGTCCTGGGGCTGGTTTTGTTTAATATCTTTATTAATGATCTGGAGGATGGTGTGGACTGCACTCTCAGCAAGTTTGCAGATGACACTAAACTGGGAGGAGTGGTAGATACACTGGAGGGTAGGGATCGGATACAGAGGGACCTAGACAAATTAGAGGATTGGGCCAAAAAAAACCTGATGAGGTTCAACAAGGACAAGTGCAGAGTCCTGCACTTAGGACGGAAGAATCCTATGCACTGCTACAGACTAGGGACCGAATGGCTAGGTAGCAGTTCTGCAGAAAAGGACCTAGGGGTCACAGTGGACGAGAAGCTGGATATGAGTCAACAGTGTGCTCTTGTTGCCAAGAAGGCTAATGGCATTTTGGGCTGTATAAGTAGGGGCATTGCCAGCAGATCGAGGAACGTGATCGTTCCCCTTTATTCGACATTGGTGAGGCCTCATCTGGAATACTGTGTCCAGTTTTGGGCCCCACACTACAAGAAGGATGTGGAAAAATTGGAAAGAGTCCAGCGGAGGGCAACAAAAATGATTAGGGGTCTGGAGCACATGACTTATGAGGAGAGGCTGAGGGAACTGGGATTGTTTAGTCTCCAGAAGAGAAGAATGAGGGGGGATTTGATAGCAGCCTTCAACTACCTGAAAGGGGGGTTCCAAAGAGGATGGAGCTCGGCTGTTCTCAGTGGTGGCAGATGACAGAACAAGGAGCAATGGTCTCAAGTTGCAGTGGGGGTGGTCCAGGTTGGATATTAGGAAACACTATTTCACTAGGAGGGTGGTGAAGCACTGGAATGCGTTACCTAGGGAGGTGGTGGAGTCTCCTTCCTTGGAGGTTTTTAAGGCCCGGCTTGACAAAGCCCTGGCTGGGATGATTTAGTTGGGAATTGGTCCTGCTTTGAGCAGGGGGTTGGACTAGATGACCTCTTGAGGTCCCTTCCAACCCTGATATTCTATGATTCTATGATTCTATTTCAATATAGTAAGAGTGGGTTACTAATGTAAATTGCACAGCAATGTAAGGTTGTTTTAAAATTATTGTTGTATTCTGACATGGCCATACCTGCTTGTTGGACAATAACATTGTCAGCTTTACAATGTTTACTATGACCTGAGGAAAAGGAGCTTGCATATTTGAGTTGTTGGAGAAAGGAGTCTTGCCAAGGATGGCAAGAACTTTCACCCAGGGAGAGTGTAACCCCTAGGCCTCTGGGTCCCTGTGTGCTGGTAGCTCTGGGAGGGGCACTGTCCCTGGGAGGAAGAGGCCAAGGGCAGACTCAGAGTCTTCTGGGCAGCCCAGAGGGAGAGGAGAGACGCTGTTTAAAACAGGGGCCTTGTTGGCACAAGGAGGGTGGCAAGGCCCCCGCTCTGGGGAGGTGCAGTGCCTGAGAGAAAGGAGGGGGCAGAGTCAAATGACTGACAAGGGAAAGCCAAGGAAGAAGAGCTAGCCTGCCCAAGTGCCTAATAGGAGCCCTGGAGAGGAGAGAAGTCAGTCTGGAGGAGCTGGAGCCAGCCAGGGAAAGGGCAGGGCTGGCAGTGGGGACTGAAAACCAGCCTCTGGGGGCCTGGCAGCAACATCCCTCAGCTTGGGCCTCTCCCTCTCCAAGGCGACTCCCAGTTTGTAGAACTTTGTTGAGGAAACTTAGCACTGCAGCTCCCTAGGCAAGATTAGTCACCACATGGCGAGCTCTGCTCTGGCTGCGAGTGTGTCTGAACGCTGGGATGGGAGACTAAGACTAAGATATTAGTAGAGTTTTGTAACCTGCACCCTGAGCCCTGCACCGCTTTGTGGGGAGGGAAAATCCTGACACCAAAAGCAGCCTGACTCCTGCAAGCAGAGATCAGCCCCTCTGCAATGACTGAGGAGCCCAGAGCCATCTCTGAACCTGAGGATTGTTCACCGAGTTGTGAGTCACCATCCTTCAGCTAGATAGTCCGGGAGATTGTTTGGGAGACCACCGGATCCCTGAACTGTGTCCTCAAGCCAGGGGTGAGGCTTTCGGGATTTTATTATCTGCTGCCTATTAAACCTGTGGAGGGACTCACCACATTGCTAACTGCTGCACAGAAGTTATTGTGGCCACAGGCCATCAAGGACCCCTACAAAGTGCACGTATCAGCAGGACACTAATTTTACATTTGCCATATTAGGTAACATGACGGGAAATTCATGGGTTTTATCAGCGTGGGGACTGGTGACCCTGAGAGTAGTTTTTACCCTGCTATATTATATTCACTTCCTGTTTAATATAATGACTGTGTTGAATATATTGTGTGTGTTAATTATTTCTTGGGAGTCTCCAACTCTCTGGCAAGTAAGTGGGGGTTATCATGTGGTCAGAATTTTCCTCCCCAGCAGCCCTGGTGACCCTGCCAGGAAGGAGCGATGGGAGTGGAGGCACCACCAAATAAATTCATATGGGAAGAAAATAAGGAAGTTACTCCGTGCTGAGCTGAAGGCGGGATCCAGAAGAACCCAGGCCTGTCCATCAAAAAGGAAATCGGCACTAAAGGAGGTAACTGGGTGGAGAGGGGCACTACAGTAAGTTACAAGCTTTCAGTAGAGACCGCAAATGCTGCCCTTTATGGATAAATTGATGAAAGCGATGTCTTAGGTGTAGTGAGTTGGTCTGGTCTGAGACAAAAGTTTCTTGTAAAGGAGAGTGAACCCTTTGCCAACTGGGCACCAAGAGACATCTGTCTCACATGTTGCAGTTGATCTGAATCTGCATTTTTTGCCACACAAACAAAGTGGAACTCCAGACAGTCAAACACTCCTTCCAAAATAATGGCTCCTGGACAGGTACTCTCCCTTTGTGTACCTAAGACAGAGTAGCCTGATATGGCCTATTTCAGTTTCACAGCAACCACACGTCCTGCTGCCTCCATGCCCTGCATTGCCCTCCTCCTCACACAGCTGATCTCTTCCTGCTCTGTGCATTGGGCTATCCCACCCCAGAGCACTTGGACTGTGAGTCTCTCTCCTCCCTACACCCCA